ATTTCCCTCCCCCCACTGTTTTTGATCCCATTCCCCACTCTGCCCCATAAAATGTCTCTGGTATATCGCTGTTCATCATTATTATTATTTTCTCACCTCGTCCATTATATTCCTGCTATGAGTGAAACCATCTGGTATTTTTCCTTTTCTTTCTGGCTGGCTTATTTCACTAAGCATGGTCCCTTCCAGCTCCATCCATGTTGCTGCAAAAGGCATGTGTTCATTTTTTTTTTGGTTGCTGAGTAATATTCCATTGTGTATATGTCCACATCTTTTTAATCCAGTCATCCACTTTTGGGCATTTGGGCTGTTTCCATGTCTTTCCAATTGTGAATAAAGCAGAAATGAACATGGGGGTGCAGGTATCATTTTGAATCAGTGTTGAATTTTGAATTGTGTCTTTTTGAATTGTGTCTTTTGGGTAGATACCTAGGAGTGGGATTTCTGGATCGTAGGAAAGCTCCATGTTTAGCAGTTTGAGGAACCTCCAAACAGGTTTCCATAGTGGTTGTACTAGTTTGCATTCCCACCAGCAGAGCCTGCACTTTTAATAGCCAGAATTGCAGCCATATCTTCTAGAGAGTCTCATTTAACCTCCTGTGGATTTGATTTATACTATTACATAATTATTTCATAACCTCTCATTTTTGCACCTATTTTGCATAGAAAAATTCTGCCAACTACCCATCACTATTTGTTTGGATCCAGGAAATCCTGGTTCTTGGCTTGCCTGGTTGTAGCCATAGCTGCTAAGTCATTCTGACAGTCATGGTGGGATTGATACACAGAGAAAAGAGAGGAATTGGAGAGGCTTCCTGGAGTGGTGGCTTGCAAGTGGTCTTTGGGCTGAGGGGCAGGGAAGCAAGAGAAGGCACTCCGGATGGAGGGACAGAGTGAGCAGCTCAGGTTCCAGAGGTCAATCTAGTAATCGTCAGAATCCAGAGTAGTGGACACTAAGTCCCAAACCCCTCCTGATACCTGGTCCAGGCTCACAAGGGAGAACCGGCAGGGATTCGCCCCAGGTGGTTCTATACTTGTTGGCATCTGCCCCACAGGATCACTCCTTGTGCAGAGACCCCAGTGAGCCTTCTGGGCAGAGTGTGACCTTTAAGCAGGACCACCAGCAGGAGACGCAGCAGATCCGCTCTGTGCTGTGGCAACTGGCCTCCAGGTCCCTGCGGGCCCATGAGTGGAAGAAGCTGGCATATTGCTGGGAGTTCACCGAGGCCCACGTCCATGCCATTGAGCAACAGTGGACAGGTACTATCTTGCCTCTCCCACCCCTGCAACCAGCAGGTGTATGGATGGGGGCACTGTTATTTGTGGGAAAAGATCTCATGCAGCCCACAGCCCAGCCACCCCAATCATATGCATCTCCCACACAGCGTGTGCTCTTTCAGTGTTCTGGTCTCTATAGAGGATGGACCCTTTGCCTCTCCTTCCCCTTTGATGTGTGAATTTCACATTCTTTATGAATTAATCTAAGCTGACACCCACCACCCACACACTAAAGTAAAGGGGCCCCCTGCAAAAAGGAGGTGCAGCTGTTGCCACTATTATTTAACATCTATTTAGAAAAATTGGTCTTACATTAAGGAGTGAAGGAGAAATAGAAATAAGGAGCGTAAATATTGAATAAGAAAAGAGATGTATTAATTTCAGAAGCTATAGTGAATACATAGATGTCCAGAAGAAACTAGAAACTCTTAAAATAAAATAATTGAATAAAATGGATAACTATATGATAAAATATACCAGAGAATTCTTATGTATCAGCAATAAGTGGGCAAAATACAAAGACATATTTAAAGGGTACTTTATACATCATTTAAAACATTGTGTGTCTCCCCTGGAAAATCTTATAAGAGAAATATGATTGACACATATGAATAAAACAATAAAAATTAGTTGACTATGACTTGGTTAGGTAAAATGACATTCTGTATTCCTGGCTAGGAAAATATTACATATTGATTTTTTCCAAGTGAGATTAAAACTTTGATCCAGTTTTAATCAAATCAAAAAAGGAAGTGTTTAAAACTTGACTAGAGGATTCTATAGTTCATTTGAAAGGAAAAATGGGGGTATAGCAGGTTCTCATAGAACATTGTTTCAATCTATGGTGACTCATTATAACATTTATGACAGAAAACAAATCCCAACCTGTGTTGACCCAAACATTGTCATTTGAGGGCTTTCACTGTACAGTTTTTCACTTAAACTCATAGTATCCACAAAAGCCTATCGAGGCTGTTAAGTGAGGACTTAATATAGAAGCATGAACATTCTGGGAAAAAGCAGTTGGAAGGGGGTGTCTAGCCCCCCACCCCAGACTCAACCTTTCATAAGGCTAAAACAATGAGTGCAGAGAGATAACTGATACAAAAATATGCAGACCAATTAGTGAACTAGAGCAGGGAGTCCAAAAGTGAACTTCGTGACTGATAAGAATGTCCACAGGTGATGGGAGAGGGCAAAGTCAATGGACTAAATGGGGGTCAAGACACCTCAGCCCCAAGGAGCTGTGACACCAAAGGCAACACTGTGAGGAAGTGCCTGAGAGGCCCAAGAGGGACAGAAAGGGGTGGGGGGTGGGGTGCTGTTGAGAACAAACTGCCCTGGACCATGGCTGTGCCTGCATGTTCGTCTCCAGCTGAGAGAGCTCTGAAGATGGGGCACTTTCAAACAGTTGTGCTTTGGAGTCACCAGGGAAGCTTTACACCTGTTGCAAGCAATGCTCCATACAGACCTGATTACATGGGGCGTCCAGGGGCGGGTTCCAAGTATCAGTAGTTGCTAAAGCTTCCCAGGTGTTTTCTGGACTGAGAACCCTGGAGCAGGGGCAAGAACATGGCCAGCTGCACCAGCCGGGAACCAGGCCACTAGCAGCCAAAGAGCTGAATGCCAGTTCTTTCTCTCTTCAGAGTGACGCTGACAGCATGTGTGGCAGGTGCTCAGGAGAAAGCCTGAACTGGTGGGAGTCTAGGGCCCCCAACACAAGATCCCCGCCCCTTTCCTATTTGAGGCTGCTACTTCCCTCCCCTTCTCCATCTCTGGACTTTGGAGTGCAGAATGGGGTCTGCTGAGACTCTTGGTCTCTTTGCCATCTGGGCATGCTTACGCAGGGCGTGCACAGATACCTGCTCAGGCCTGGCTCTGCTAAGCTGAGCTGGGTTGGCTCCTTCTTCCTTTCTCTCCCTCATGGGCCTCAGGCACCAAGAGTTATCGGGAACATGGCCATCGGATGCTGCTCATCTGGCTGCATGGTGTGGCCACAGCCAGTGAGAATCCCAGCAAGGCGCTGTTCGAGGGCCTCGTAGCCATTGGCCGGAGGGACCTGGCTGGTAAGAGTCCCCTGCCTGGCTCCTGTTCAGCACAGTGCAGCCCCTGGGTCAGAGTTCCAAGAAGCTGCTGGGATGTCGCAGGGTACATGGAGGGCCACTCGGACCTCCATGCCATGGAGCAGCTCTGAGCTTTCTAGATTCCTGGTCCCACCTCTGCCTCCTGGAGCTCCAGCAGAGCCTTGGGTAAATCAGAGAACCTCCTGGCATCGGTTTCCACATTTATTTTGACCTGGAGGATCCCTGTGACCTTCACAGTTCCAAAGTCACTGCTACCCTCATCTCTATCACTTCAGCCTTCTATACTTTGATTTTCCGCTCCTTGTTTGGAGTAAGATGGAAACAGCCTGTAGATATCCTTTCACAGACATTAATACATATAGGCCAGAACTGGCTTCATATGAGTTGATTTGGTTAGTTAAAACTTCTGAAACCATCACACCCTATTTGAGTCTGTCAACCCCAAAAGCTTGTATCTTCTTCTTTTTTTTTTTTTTTAAAGATTTATTTATTTATGTATACAGAAGTGGGGTATAGGTCAGAGGTGCAGGGGTGGTGAGAGGCTTCACCAGAGACAGAGTGGGGAGCAGAACAGGCAAATC